TCTAGTAGTTATACTGTATTGTTTGGAGAATAAAAAAAAAGATTATACATGGTTAATGATTTTTTTTTTTCAAATACTTTTGATTGCCAGTTGCTTAAACCCACAGATGAAGAACCTGAGGATACACAGCGGATTGCATCCAACTGCAAACTAAGAAACTTATTCCTTTGAAAGCTGGCCACCACTTATTTCTCTCTGAATTCTTCCTGCCTACCAGGCACCTCAGAGATGGTTTGCTAGATTTTTTTTTTTAAGTTAGATGTGATATTTATTTCATGTCTTTTTTTTTTTTGGTACCAGGGATTGAACTCAGAACCTTGCACTTGCTCAGTGGGCGGTGAAACCACTGAGCTAAATCCCCAGCCCTATTTCATGTCTTAGTTACTTTTCTTGTTGCTGAGAAAAAATACCTGACACCCAAAGTTAAAGGCGGAAAAGTTTATTTAGTTCACAGTTTGTAGTTGGCTGGCTCCAAGGCAGAGGGACATCACAGAGGAGAAACAGTGCATGGCAGGCAGATGACAGCAAAGCATCGAAGAAGCAAGCAGCAAGAGGCAAGCAACAACAGCAGCCCTCTTTCAGACCCTTATAGTCTATCCAGGCTACCCACCCTTAGGTTGCCCAAACACCTGGGGTGGGGCACCCTTAATCCCAGCAACACATCCTTAATCCCAGCAACACACTCTAGATCCAGCCACCTCTGAAATGTTCCACCTATGACCACATGAGGCTCTGAGGGAACATCTAGATACAAGCCATACCACTCTGTAAGTATGGAAAATGTGTTTTTAACTCAACATGCCGATAAAATATCAGGTGTTGGTAGACATTAGCTTGTATTAAAAATCCAGGAAAACTGATGTCATGATGCATCTTGACTTTGTCAGTTGTGGTCATTTACTTAATTGTGGTAAAAGAAACAAGACTTTCTGAACAGAAAACATTAATGAATGAGGACTGTTTGGCTGCACCAAAGGAGACTCACCAAACAACTGGCCTTTTTTTTTCCCAACATTTTTTATATAAAGCACAACTTGAAGGAATACTATTTCTACTTGCCATATTTTTGGTTTTTCTTCCCAGGAGCTCAAGCCCTTACCATTTCTCACCTGAAGTATATAATACAATTGCCCCCTAACTCTAGCCCCATTTTCCCCAGATTTAAGCAGCTGTTTATAACAAGAGCTATTCCTCAACCATGGCTCTGAGCACACTGCTTCTGACTCACTAGCTTTCAGACTCACTTGTAGAGGTTAAATGTCGGCCTTTACCTCTCATTCCCCTAGCAAGGGCCACTGCATGAAAGCTCTGGTTGCCAAGGATATGTCCTACATTGGAGTTTTATGTATATTCATGTACACATATCCTCTACATATGTGCATACACTTATATACACACATGAACACACCATTAGTCTGACACAAATACATTCCTACACTGTGCAGTCACCTCCTCCCCTGCACAAAATTCCACTTTGAGCCCTACATTCAGCTCAAAGCTATGTTCTAGATGAAGATCTCTCTAAATTCTCAAGACAAAAACAATGGGAAACAAATGATGAAAATATGCACCAAATTAAGACGTGATATGTATAGCTACCAACTCCCTCAGACGAAAGTATTCATTATGTATCACAAACATGTATTAATAAAAAAAGAAAAGATACATTAGTCTCCTCCAGAGGCTCAGGCCAGAGATTCCTGGCTGTCAGGCTGTCAGGTCTTCTGCTTCCTTCATTCCCTCCCAGCTCACACTTGTACCAAGATCTCTCAGCACAAAGTAAGTGCTGGCTAAAAGCTGGCAAAGTTATGTTAGGAGAGAAACAGCACAGTGAATACAATCACTCTTTCAAAGGATTCTAAAAGGGAAAAGGCCCCAGACTGTATCCCAGCCTTGGTGGGGAAGGGAGGGATATGGCCAGATGTGTGTGTACCCCAAGACTTACTTAGGAGAACAGGTAGATGCCCAAGTGTATGAGAAAAGGCACAGGTATTTAGGCAGGTAGGACAGGGGACCCTCAAGGTAAACTGGGATACGGGTGGCATGGGGGCAGCGGAAGGAGGATCCACTGACTAAAAAGTTCTCACTCCACACCATAGTAACCTCAACGGAGGCCTGAAGTTAAAGTCAAACATAGAGCCTCTCACCAGGGGGCATTCACCAGACCTGACAGTCTTACTCATCCAGTACTCTAAGGACTGATGAGGAAAGCAATTTGGGCTAGCTGGATGCTAAGTGGGGTGCCAGAACTGGGTTTTCCTGGATCCGTGGGTGGAGGCAGAGGGAAGGCTCTGGGATGTTAAGGGCTGGAGTGCAGTATTCTTGGCCTTCCAAAAGCTGCCTGGCTGGAAATAATGTGAAAACCAGACTGCCTCCTGACCACCTGATGGGTGTGGGACATTGGCCCAGAACCAGGAGGTGGCCTTGCACAGAGGGCAGAGACAGGGCACCTGGAGTTTGCATCCAAAGGAGCTCTGTCTAGAAAACCCAGAGGGAAGGTTAAGGAGAGAGAAGCCACAGTAGTCCAGGATCAGCAGCCAAAGACCTCCCAGAAACTTGTTAGAATTCGAATTCTAAGAGGCAACCACCACCACCACCCCAACCCTCCACCCCCGCTTGTTGAATCAGATACCACTGGAATGGGGCCCCTCAATCTGAGTTTCAACCAGCCTTCCAGGTGCACTGAAGTGTATGAACAACCACTGTACTGGTCTTGCAGACCCCGCCTTGCTGCCTCCTCCCTCCCTAGCTGCCTCCTTTCTTCTTTGGTAGAAAAACATCTGGTAACTGCAATCCCTGTCTCTGGAGACAGACAACTTCTTAAAAGATCAAAGAGCACAAAGTCACAACGTAGGAGGTGAAAAGCAGCCCTGAGAGATGATTTCTAAAAAGCCATGTGTGATCATGTCACTCCAACAGCTAAATCCATTCACTGGTCCCTCACTGTGCTCAGTTTACAAGGTCCTCCCAGACATTACTGTCCAGCTAAGGTCCTGCCCAACTCTAACATCTCAATTCCAACCATAGGGGACTTCACCTGCAGTTCCGTAAAGCACCAACCAGGCTCTCTTCTCCAGCCACCTGTGGTTACCACCCCTCCCACCTGGATAATGGTCCTGCCTTCTGGGTGCTCTCCCTGACCCACTCCTTAACACTAGGCCCCATCACAGCACTCATCAGGGCACAGCAGCTAGGTGACAGCATTCATCGATGACATTAACCCTGCAAAGGGTCCTGCTCCAGCAGCTGGCAAGGGAGGGAGAGCACTGAGAAGACCCACAAAATCTATCTGGTGATGGAATGAAGCCAAGTCTTAAATACACTTGACATTCCAGCTACAAAACATATTATTCCTAAGTATCTGAAAGTCTTAATTGTAATTGGGAAAAAATGTTCACTAAAGTTTTGAAAGCCACAAAAGATTTTTTAAAAGGGAGCAAGCAGAACCAAGAGCAGCAGGACAGAAAAGCTGATCTGTTGCCCTGAGGGATGGTTTTGTGTAACAATGGGGATGCACGCAGTCCAGCTGTTAATCTCTCCAGAGCTCTCTCAGGCCTTCCAAACTCAAAAATTCCAGGTTCTCCAGTCATGTGTGGGCCAAGCATAAGACTGCCAGGAGCCTCACAGATCAACCACAAGCCCACAGGCCCAGTAGCTCCCAGCTGTTATCCCAGTGTAGCATCCTGAATGCTTGGAAAGCTCAAGACTCCAAGCTTCTGTGGTGTGTTCTCCAGAATACCCACACCACCGCCTGGGGCAGACCAAGCAGGGGAGAGGATACTCCAGGACATCTGGGAGAAGGGCCAGGCAGAAAAATTAAAGGAGAGCATCCTCTTACTCCTCCCTCCAGGAAAACAAAAAGATCTTTCCAAGCACCAGCTGGCAGATAGGAGCCTGTCTCTTCTGTTGGGACATCCAACAGGACTCTTCATCAGTCTGCCCCAACCCAAGCCCAGGTAAAAAGTTTACCTTTGGGAGAAGAATGCAGGGAAGAACAAGAGAGCAGGAGCCTGACAGCTAGACAACCCTGCCCTAAGGAGCGAGCTCTCCCACTGGGCCTCAGATTTAATCAAAACACTGCCTTCCACCAGAAGTAGACAGAACAAGTATTATTTTATGGGGGAAGGGAGCATGTCTCTGGAGTGTGATGGGGAGCCCTGGTCGGGTCTGGCTGTAATTAACTGGCTTGCATCAAAGGCCGGGGGCGGGGGTGGGGGGTGGGGATCAAGATGGCCTGATAATTTAAGAAGGGGGTTGTCATAAAGTCCCCGTCCCTGGGACAGCAGGGCCGGCCTGAGGCCGGAGACCACGGGTCTCCTTTCAGCAGGCCTAAAAGGCAGACCCCCTGCAGCGCATGGCTGGAGAAACAGCCCGGATCCTAGCGGACCGCTCTAGGGGGTAGAGCATTTCAACCGGAAAAGCACACGTGGGGGTGCCCGGTGTGGCTCCGGTTCAAACGGCCGCCCAGCTGGGAAACCTGGCAGGGAAGGTAGGGCATTCAGAAGGATTTATATGTACACGTTCTGAGAGCGCCAGTCTGGATCTGAAACCAAGAATGCTGTGTACTATCGCTTGAGTCTCTTCCCAGCTATGGACCTCAGTTCCTATCCATATCCAGTGTATGGGTGCGGGGGAGGAACGCCGGGGGAGGCCAGAGTAAATGCTCTTTCAAACAAGCGACAGCCCAGACTCTCCGACTTTACTTGGAGCCGGAAAGACTGGCTGATCTCTCTTCCTTGGGCAAGGCTGGGCGGGGCGCTCTCGCTCCAGCTCTGGGCTCAGAGGGGGCGTTTTGGGAGCAGCAGCAAAAGAGACGATGTCAGACCAACCATCTGGGGCAATTCATGTGGAAAGGGTCAAAATGTAGGAGCAGCGCAGAAGCCCTGACCTCAGGTTCCCAGGCCAAAATTTATGTAAAGACTGGGAACTCGAGTGCTGCCTCGGTTTTCCCGCGCCCACGATGGTCTTGGAACCCCGGGGTAAGCTCAGGAGTAGCTTACCTTGTCCTTCTTGCCGGCCCCGCTCTCCTCCGAGACCGAGGCAGCGCACTTGTTGAGCAGTTTCTTGCTTCCGCTGGCCGTCGGGCTCCAGGTGCGGCCGCCCGAACAGGACCCCCCTGGAGGGTCCCCGGTCCCGCCAGCGGCGGCGCTCTCCACTTTGATGAGACGGTGCTTGGGGGAGATGTAGCGTACCTCGGCCGGCGTGGCGGGCCGCCGCTCACTACTGCTACGGTAGAGATGCGGGGAGCCGGAGGAGGACGACGAGGACGCGGCAGCAGCAGCGCCAGCGCCAGCGCCTGAGGCGGCACAGCAGCAACCGGCAGCGCCCGACGCGGATGAGGCCGAAAAGGCGCGCTGGCCCCCACCGGGCTCCCCGCCGCCGCAGTAGTCCAGGCGGCACATGGCGCGCAGTTTGCGCAGCGACGAGCCGGGCCCGTTGTAGGGGTCCTCGAAGTCGCGCTCCTTCTGCGCGCGGTAGGCACGGATGAGGTCACTCGTGCTGCCGCTCTCGTCGGGCAGCGAGCCCGACGAGGCCGAGAAGCAGGAGGCGGCCGCCGGACCGCAGGACGCCGAGGCGGCCTGCGGCACGGCCTGGGGGGGCTGCGAGGGCCGCTCGCCCCGGCGCCGCTGCTCGCGGTAGTCGGGCCTCGGCGGCTGCGGGGGACTCTTAGTCTTGCTGTTGCCCAAGCTGAAGTATTTGTTCAGCCACTTGGCCATGGCGAGAGGCCGCCTAGGGCCGCGGCGCGGGAGCCTGGTCCGCTGCCGCGGCCATCCGGGGGGCAACGCTGCAGCCCAAGCCCCTCGGCGCCCCGGCCCCGGTGGGGGGCGTCGGGGCGCCCACTCCCGACGCCAAGTTCAAGTTCTCGCCTTCGCCGCCGCCGCCTCCTGCTGGCTACACTCAGACCCCAGCAACAGCTGCGCTGCCCTCCGCCTCCGCCGCGCGCCGCCCGGGCTTCGGGTCTCGGGCCCCTCGCGAGCGCCTCTCATAGGGTCCCAGCCCGCGACCGCTGAAAGCACCGGGCCCAGGCGGCCCCCGCCGCAGAGCGCGCTTCTGTCTGCCCCGTCGAAGTGGCAGCCTCCAGCTCGGCCAGGACCTGCGGCCGCTCCGGGGACTTGGCGTCCTCCGCTCCCGTCCTTCCTTTCCGAGAGAGCTGGGGCGAGCCAGGCGCCTCCGCCGGCGGAAGAGCGGGCGATAAATCGAGGGGAAAAGGGAGGCAGCCGGCGCCCGCCCGAGCTCGCGCGACCGTTCCCGTCTCGGCGGCGCCTAAGACAACCGCTGCCGCCGCCTCCCGAGCCGCCGCGCGTGTGACACCCGGGCCGCCAGATCCCGCCCCGCGCCGCGCGCCCCGCCCCCGCGCCGCGCGCTCCGCCCCTCGCTCCTGCAGCCCTGGACCGCGGCTCAGCCCCGCCCTCCCTGCGCCGGGCGCTCTGAGGGCGCACCTTGCTCGGGCGGTTGCCTCGGAGCCGGCCCCAGGGTCGTGCCCCAGGGCGCCTGGGCTCTGCAGAGCGCCCGGCTCCGCCCCGCTCGCCGCCCTCCACAGCCTCGGGCGAGAGTTTGCCAGGCTGAGCCTGCTGCGCACAGAAGCCAAACCCGTCCTCACTTCCCTGGGACCCGCGCGCTGCACACCCCCGGAATGCCCCGCGTCGGGGCGGGATTAACACCGGACCTTTCTAGTTTACAGCGTGGCCCGTGCGGAGGAAATGCGTTGCCAAGTGTCCCTTAGGGACAGACCGCCGGTCGCCCTTCTTAAAGGGACAGAGACTCCGGTTCAGTCCCCAGGCGCCAGGTCTTCCGAGGAATCTTTATGCTAATGAGTGTATTAGCAATCCGGATGACGGATGCGGACGGGATAGGCGGCGGGGGCCGGACGCGGCTCCAATCGCAGAGCTAGACTAAGGGGAGGTCGGAGTGTTTGCTTACCTTTTCACCTCTGAGGAAGTCGGGGCTTAATTTAACCCTGTTCTCTGCCAACCTGAAAAGGCGACCTGTGGGAACGTTTAATGCCTAAGGTTGTAGGAACTGGTAAGGCACCATTTAATCCAGAAATTTCATTTTACAGAAGGAGAAACTGAGGCCCGGAGAAGGTCACACAGATTGGGCTGGATGCCAGTTCTTGAATCTGGAGGCACCATAACGATGCCACTTGAGACTATGCTTTAGTGACTAGCCAAAAGTGAGAAAACGCAGGGTGAAGGAGGGACACAGCTTGCACAGGGTAGCTTTTCCTAGGGTCTACACTCAGGGAAGAAAGCATGCTCCCCGATGTAACCAAAATCATGCCAGAAAATGAGGTAGCTGCTTCTTGGGGTTTGGTTAGGCAAGCCCCAGAATGTAGCTTAACCCCAAAATGAGGGGGAGAAACCTAAGAGCTGAGACATTCTCTAAGAACAATAACTCAAATCCATCTGCCGTGTGTACATTATAGACATGGGAGTCTGTTTCCTGTAGGAACAGTAGACCTGTGGGGGAGGCAGCAAGGCCAAGGGTCTGCTGGAGCTGGAGGTCACCCTCACTCTGAGACTTTGGGACCTGGAGGACCAGAGCTGTTAACTGTCTCTCTCTCTGACCCAACAGACTCAGACCTGTGACCATAGCCAAGAAATGGCAGAAGCAGGAGGCCAACTTGGGGCTCACAGTGAAGAAGGGCTCTGTTAGCCACACAGCAGTGCAGTAGGACTGGCTGCTAACGTTCCACTGGGATTGAGCTATTTGCCTCTATTTGGTCAGACAAGACTGTCATCTTCTGTGGCCAGTTGAATTCTCTGAATCGCCTTTGTGACACCCCCCCCCCCCCAGTAATGTCACTAGCTTGTTCTTACCTGAGATCTATTCAAGCATTTCAAGGAAATAATATTAAGGGGAGGGGTCTGGAGATAGGGAGGACACCCAGAAATTAACAGCTGTTTATTTTGGGTATTCCTAGACTTATACATATCAAATTACCCTTTAAATCACTGCTCTTATGCATAAACATTTGATTGTCCTGCATAAAAGCCCCAACAGCAAACCTGAAAGGCAAGGACAGTCTCATCTTAAGCAACACCTTTCGTCCAACCACGAATCCTCTCCAGCTCCTTCCCTTCCCACTTCTACTTCTGGCCTGGCAAGGAGGAGCAGCTAGATCCTGGCAGCAGGCCAGGCCACCTGGGGCAAGAAAGTCCTCTCTGGGATCTGGAAGCTTGTTCCCTGTATATGGGCAGCAAAAGGAAGAGTTATCTCTGCCTTTTCCGAAGACTTAGGAAGAGAAGTTCTATTTCACAACTTATTTTTTCCATTTCACTTTCAGCAGGACATGGGATCAGAGCAGCTTTCCCATGTGATGCCTCTGCTGGGCTATAATTTGCAAGCCAGAATTATTGTAATGCTATAGTATTATGCCAAGAACTTCCAGAGTGCTTGTGTATCTGCTCAGCTCCTAAAGACTCTGTGTATAATTAGCCCCACTCAATATCCCTGAAGTCTGGTGTTACTCCCAGTTTACAGTTGGAGTGGCTGGCTTAAGGTGGTATTTACTTCAATCAGGCAAGAACCCCATGGGTGTTTTCCTTTGGGAACATGTAGAGACATACCCTCTAATATCAAGTCAGAAATAATCATTCTGAAAGGAAACAGAAAAGTTTCCTATGGAAGATGTTGGAGAAACTGTGTCCAGTGGTTTGGGGAGCCAGGGTTCTAGGAAAAGGATGAGAGCTCTGTAGGGGGTTAGACCCAAACACATTTTTTCAGAGTTTCACCTACCCTATTTTACAGGGGCAAAATTTGGAACAGTGTAGAGAGATTACATCTAGAGGCACATCTGCACCTGCTACGGTGATGTATGCCTATAATCCCAGCACTCTTGGAGGCTGAGGCAGGAGGATTACAAATACAAGCCCAGCCTAAGCAGCAACTAACTTGGTGAGACCCTGTCTCAGGGGGAAAAAAAGGTTGAGGATAGAGCTCAGTGTGAAGGGCCTCAGTTCAATCACCAGTATCAACAAAAATAAAAGAGGCACAACTGGACTGATATGGAGTCTCTTCACACCACAAGCCCAATACTCTGTGATCCTGTAATAAACCATGCTGATTCCTCTTGGCATTTTTTGCCTTATTTTTTTCCCCATTAAGTTTATTGGTACATTTTAGGTATAAAATACAGTTACATTCATCACTGGGATCTTGTACCAGCACATGAGTATCTTGGTTCTTATTTTTTCCCCTTCCCTTGCCCTCCCTTCACCCCCTCCACCCTTCCCTATTTGCAAAGACTTTGTTTCCATTTTTTTCCTTTTCTCACATTTTTTCTTTTCCCTTCTTTCCTTTCCCCTACCCCTCCCACTTCCCCTGCTCCTTTAGACCTTTTCTTCCTATTACACAATATCGATTATACATTTTTTTAAAATTACAATATCACGATCTAGGAGACAATACCACAGATTTTACAGAATTTAAAAGGGTATAGAAAGCATATTACAAAAATCATTTATTTATTTATCTATTTATCTATTTATTTATTGGTACCGGGGATTGAACTCAGGTCCTTGCGGTTGCACAGGTGGCAAAACCACTGAGCTACATCCCCACAAAAATCTTTTTTGAAATAAATTTGACAACTTCTAATAAGTACCTTGGAAGACAAATTAATGGAACTAACTCTGGAGGAAATATAAAATTCGAATAGCACCTATTAAAGAAAATATAATACTAACTTGAAAACCTACCTATATGACAATAAGAGGATCATATACATTTTAACTGATAAATTATTTCAAACATTTAAAGCAGAAAAAACAAGGAACACTTCTCCCCTCATTTTAAGAAATCAACGTTGTGCTAATCCTAAAACTGGATAAAGATAATAGAAGAAAAAACTATGAACATAGATAGAAATTTGTTTAACAAAACAAATTGTTAGAAGTCAGATCTGGCAGGATGTAGAAAGTGGTTTT